CTGCACTTACTAACTTTATAAATTGCTGGAAACCCATTACAGAGCAAGCAACCCAAACCCTTTAGCACTGGCTTTGACTCAGTGCAGTCAGAGCCAACAGACTTTGGCTGTTGGTGTTAAAAGGCTCAGGATCATCATAGGATCATAGAATGATTTGGGTTGGAAGAGATCTCCAGAATCCATGAAGTTCCAATCCACTTGTCATGGGAAGAAACATCATCCATTGGATCAGTTTGCTCAGGGCCCCATTCTCATGTGGCTGTTATCAAAAGCAAAACATCTAATAGTAAATTATTAAGAACAAACAGAAAGAAACACTCAGCCAAGGAGATAATATCAGGCATTCTGGGAATAACATTCCTAATGGCAAGTCAGTGAGGAAGGCTTGATTCTCTCTTCCAGGGCATCAGCTTTAAACAGGATTTTTCTGCTACTGGTGTCAGCTGACTTTGGCTTGTGTAATGGATGAGGGGATCATGCACAGGCAGAAGCTTCGTGTCACCTAAAAACTGCCTTGTTTATGCTGGGATTTTTGGTAGAAATTCTAAGACTCTCTTTTCATTCTTACAAGGTAGACCTTTTGTAACATTATTTTATGGCAATTTGAATAATGCTATCTATAATTATCATTGCCATTGGTATTACAATTTCTATTAGTTTTTTGTCAGTTTCCTCAAACTAAATGAATATTTATGCTACAAAAGTTTACAGCTTCTCTTATTGACTTGCCAACAATACTGCACTAATAAACTAGTGAAAGGATGAATTGGATTTCTGGCTTTGTCTAGTGTAGGTGGCTCAGTCAGAATGAGAATTTCTGTGAATGTGGCAGGTATGCACTGAATTAAGAGTAATGTCCCATGAGATATATTTAATGTAGATAAAGTGGTGGGATGAGGCAACTGTGAGTTCAAGTTCATGTCTGCATCCCAAAAGGACTCCCCAACACTTTGTACCATTGCAAGTTTTTATAGGAAGAGTTGTATATTTATTCTGTTTGTCTAGGACTTTGTGCATTAGATGCTGAGTTGTGCAAAAATAGAAATACTTTAATTGAAAAAGAAGGGAAATATTGTATAAGTATGCCATGCAAGTCCTTTGCAATCCTTCTCTGCCAAGCTATATAGGAAATTTACTGGAAGAATCCTTTCTCTGGGCAACATGTCTTTGGGTAAAATTTTAGCTTTTTAAAAGTTTTATATTTTCAAATATTTCTACTTTAATTATAAAGAAAAAAGAAATGGGAATGGAAGCCTTTATATTTATTGCAAATTTAAAAAAACCTATTCTAGCAACAAGAGTGAAGATTTAGATGCTTGAAAAGTATGTACAGTTGAAAACAAGAAGTGTTGCAAGTTATTTATATCATATTTACTGGCTGTTTCTGTTGGAGATATTTTTCAAGAAAACCAAGGTATGACAATAATAGGAAGAATAACGTGTTAGTGAAGTGGCCACTGTGTGTTGCACACTCAGCTCTGTCAATAGCTGCTGAACTGACCCAGATCACAACAGGATGAACATGAGGAACATTTCTTCAAGGGACAAGGGGGAGAAGAGGGTAGAAGAGGACAAAAATCACCTGGTCTGTGATGCCTGCAAGGGACATACTGCTGATATCCAATAATTTAATAATAGCACAGGACTCAAGGGGCTGTTCCTCCCTGACTCAGCCTTAATTGGGAAAGCTAACTTTAAAATTGTTTCCTTGGCAAAACCTTTCCTGAATATAGATGGCTAAAACACCCTAGGTTTATACATCCCAGCCTATTAGTCTGGGGGAATGAGGCAATCAAAAATTCATTCCTCCCAAACCAGGGTTAAAGTCTCATGATTTTCCATAAGCTCATAACATTTAATCAGATGCATATCAAATGCATTGGTCATGTATCTTAATGAGATTTTCAATTGTGATTTTTTTTTTTGTCCATTGATATTCAAACTGCTTAGTGTAAATCAATACAAAACTAAATTCAAGTTGTCTTCACAGGAAAAAGTTGTTATTTAGAACTCTGAGCTTATATTTTAATATTTTAAATAGTTAAATATTTAACTACTTTATAAAGGAGAAAAAAAAAATCAAAATTACTCCTGTGAGACAAGCAATTCTTATTTGGTTTTATAATTATTTTCTGAGGAAATATAGGTCAGCACTTTTTTGACTTTTCTTGTCAGGGATTCTTAAATTTAAGATTTATAGTGTGGAAGAATGACAATGTGAATGACAGGATGAATGTTAAGCTATTACCCAAATAAAACCAACTATTTTAAAAAAAGCATATCTAAACTGTCTGATCAAAGAAATTATTTCGAATTGACAGAAAATTAATTTAAATTTTTCCCCAGGTTTTTTTGTTTGTTTGGTTGGTTGGTTTTTGTTGTTGCTGTTTTCAGGTTTTTTGTTTGTTTTGTTTTAGTGAAAGAAATATTATTTTGAAAATTTTTTATTTAACAAATGAATGCAACTAGATTTTTCCTCTTTGACCATGGAGTGGTCCCAGATAGGATTTTATAGGCATTTATTGTGCATGACTGCTGGATACAGTGCAAATGGTGAATAAGTTTATAGGACACCTGTTAGTTTTGGTATAAGTGAAAAATTAAGCAAGAAAAGTAAGAAAGCAGTGAAGAAATGACCATCATCAAAATAAAACCTGGATGCTCTGCAGGTTAGCGCTGGAAACTTCAGCTCAAAGTTTGATTATAAAAGCTGTGAGTGCTTTTGGAAAGGATATTTAACAGGCAGATATCCAAGTTGTCAGATGAAACTCTGTGGAGGGAACAACTTCTATAGGGAATGTAAAAGCAGGGATTAAGAACATTTGGGTACTGTACTTAGGTTGTTAGAGATTACATTTTTCTAATTTAAGATGCAGTATATGTTTCATTCTGAGTCATGGAAGGAGGAAAGTAGGGATATACAGTTAATACAAATTGCTAGGAATAAAAAGTGGGGAGGAAATCCCCTACTACCTTTATCCTAATTTGCATCTGCACTTAAGGAGAAGAGTGACTATAATTGCTTTAGAGGAATGCAAGTGAAGTAAGCTAAATTAATACTAGTTATGAAGCAAGATTAAAGTTCAACTTTTTTTCCCTCACTTAAGGAGACTTCACAGTGACATAGCTGAATTTTCTAAAAATATGAGGAGTGAAGATTACCAGAAGCAGTGAACAAAACATTAAGACAAAAATGAACTTAATTGGCAATGAAAATTGAATTGAAAATTGAATGAAAATTGGAAAAAGAGAGGACATATACAGAACTGTTTCAGATAAATTGGGCTGCTCCTAGAGAATCTTTTACCAGAAGAGAGCAGACATGCAAACACAGGAAAAGAGAGACAGTCTTCTAAGCAAAAAGTTGGTGCAATTTAATATAAAGGAAACCAGAAACTGAAACTTAGGTTTGAGAAATGAGTCTGCAAAAACTGATAACAAGAGACGCTTTCAGCTAAAACTCAGCTTTTTCCAAAGCTTAAAACAAAGGAGAAGGGTTGTGTTTTTCTCTCATTTCCCAGGCACATGTATCATTGCTTCCGTTTAGTAATATGTGATTTCAAAGTAGATTTGCTGCAGTCATCCCTGAGCAGGAAGGTCAAGAAAACCTGTTGATATTTAGAGTGGTATATGGATAATAGCTGGAACTAGATGCTTGTGCATATTGGAAGGATGGAGACATAATGGGGAGCAGAAATCAATAATTTATATTTTGTGTGTGATTTGAATTAAGAAGCATTGGTACCTCTAGAAATGCAATCAGTTTTCACATTCTGATAGCTTTATAACTAATATTAATAGGTAACTAATATTACAGGTTTAAATACTTTAAATTTTGATTTGTTCTTTAACAGTGTCTGCATGGCAAGAGCTAATAATGTATTCTTGAACAACTTTTCTACACTGGCACAGAGCAGCTTTCCTAGTAGAAGTCTGTTGTTTTTTTAAAGGGAATGTGCAACTCTGTGGTGATGCCACATTTCAGGAATACCTGCAACTCTCACATCTCAAAAAATGAACCACTGGATTGAAAATAATAAAAGTGAAGAACGAAGAAGACAAGCAAAGGTAGGGAACCCTGTATTTTTGCAGCAGAAAATATTAAACTACTGAGACTGAACTAAGACTCATTCAGACTTACGAGTCTTATGACTCATAAGAAATATTCATATGAGAACTATGTCTCATTCTTAGTCTGGAAAGACATGACTAGAAATATGACATGAGTAGAGGAAAGAAATTAGAGCCATGAGAGTCTCTTTAGGAAATTATTTATTCACTGTTTCTCCAACAGAGATGAAGGGGATGGAGATGATATGTAGAAATTTGTCAGGTAGCCATTAAAAGAAACATCAGTGTCACTGTTACACTCTGCATTATTTTGTCACAGTATGCTCTTGAGACCATATCTTAGATAGTTTCAAAAAGTAATTATGCAAATTCTTGAAAGAAAGTCTTGTAAACAAAAGTGTTAGGAATTCTTTCAGACAGAAATTTTCTGAAAACTAGGGAAGCATACTGGAAGTAAAGCATTTCTCTGTATTTGACTAGGTTTTATATGCTAATCCCAAGCACCCAATCCTAGTAATCACAAAATGCAAGATACTTGGTCAGGTGGACCCTTTTCTGATACTGGACAACTCTTTTTCAACATAGATATAAAGATTCAAATAGTATCTACAGCACTATGTAAGTCAAATAATTACCTTTTAGCTGAGTAGAGGGAAAAAATGTTCAGAAACAGCAAAACTACTAGCTGTTTGCACATGCTGACATTTTAATAAATATGGTTTTCAATTATATTACAAAAGCAAATGACATTTTAGGTTTCCATTTCATTAGCTTGATAAATCAAATCTATTTCAAAATTCTGATTAATTTCAAACACTTTCTGACATGGTGCAGAACAAGTATGCTGACACTGGTTACATAACAATTTATACCACAGATCCCTTTGGAACCTCTTTGAGTATCTCTTTCCTTACCATTTTTGTGGGATTTCTGAGGTCTTCATTATTTGTCATTTCTGGATTGACTGTTTCATATTTCACTGAAGTTACTTTTCCTTATAGCTTGCTTTGATCACTTTTGGTACCAGAGCTAAGAACCATATTACTACCTACACATTTCATATTATAGATAATCCTGCCACAAATCTTCTCTTGATCCTTGCAGTTATCTGCTGCTAGCTCTGTGGAAGTAATTTTACTTTCCAGAATTTCAAGGTTATATACAGCAACCCAGCAGGTAAGACAGGCATGTTCTCTTCTCTGCTTCAACACACTTGTTTTGCTTGCTTGTAATTGAATCTGAATCTATTTGTTGTTTTATTAATTACATTCTGTTGTTTTAGCAGAAAATTGAAATGTCAATTAGTCATACTGTATTTACAGAATAGAATATTGTTATGGCCTTTATCTTCTTTTTTGGCCCCGCAAGGAAGATCATCACATAAACCAAATCTTTGCTGAAAGATGTTTATCTTATGTAAATATTTATGTAATACAAGTTCTGGGGGCTTCCAAGATCCTGTCTGTGATGCTGAATGTTTCTGGTTGCAAGATGTTTTTCTTTGCAATTTCCAACATAGATCTTCTTTGAAGTGACTTAAAATCTTTATCTCTTACTTTTGTCTAAAAAGAACAAAGGTAAAACCTTATTCCCATTTGTTCCCACTGCAAATTTTCACTCTTCTGAAGACCTGTCATTTTTCTCCTGTGTCCAGTTCTCTAACAGAAACCTAGTTCTTACCAGCTTTCAGAAAAGATGTTTTCTTGTTCTTTGATCATTATTTTTGTTCTTATGCATTGTCTTCTAATAGTTTTCAACACTTACTGTATCAGGAGTGGGATAAAGGAGGATAAAAGTTTTAAGAAAGTAAAATATCTCAAATATTTTGTTTTAAATTGCATTTAAAGTTTTAGGTAATATATAAAGCTGTATGAATCTTTTAGTTGAAGACTTCACATAGATTTTTTTCATCCTTTAGGGAAAATATATTTATGTTAAAATATTTAGGTGTACAACACCAATAGTATAAGTAGAAGTTAACTATGTTAAAACACACATTTGATTGAAATGCAGATTTGCAGACAATAAAGCTCATCTGTAGTTTAAAGAAATGACACTATTGTCATTTTGTGTTTCCTCTTAGCCTTTATCCATCTCCCACTTAAAATTAAAGCAAACAAAAAGCCAAGAAAACAAACAAACCCAGGAACTGGACTTGCTTATATATGGGACAGCACTTGGTTATATATGCTATTAATCCATATGATTATTCCATTTTACTCTAGGGTGAAACTGGTTGTTACAACTATGGCTGTAGAATTGTTTTGCAGCTCGTTCACATTGCAGTTTCTATATTACATGTGCATAAATTAAAACAAAACACTTATTAGAATGTCTTTGTGTGAATACATTATAACTATTGAACAGTGGTTCAGAAGCGATCTATCAAAAAGAGAACAAGTAACATCAATGCTGGAAGGATCAAACATGATTCTGAAACAGGTTGTCATAGTCCAGGATGGAAAATAAAGCATGTAGAACAAACATGGATATTGTATGAGGGACGAGGTACTGTGAACAAGTGCTGAAATCAAGGAAATGCCATACAGTGAAAGTGAATGAGTGGCATGTGGGCACTTAGATTGGGCAATACAACTGATGAGGCAAAGCAAGAGGGATTCATCAATAGAGCAGAGCAAAGAACAAGGAAGTTAAAAGAAAATCTTTGATACTGTCAAGAAATATCCTAAATCACTCAGCCTTCCTTGCAAAGTCATCAAGACAGCAGATGGCAGGGCCCTAATGAGACTAGAAAACATCAATACCTGCTTTGAAAGGAGACTTCTAGAATTATACAAAACACTGAGGGAAATTCCAGTCTTGAGTAGGAGTGAAATACCCTCTATATAGAACAATATCTATACATACCTACTGGCAAGCTAGGCAATAAACAGTTATAAATTGTACATCCAATATTATTTTACATAACCTAATTCTACAAACACAATATCTACTTGAGTTGTCAGGATGACATGGTTCAGTCTCCATGGAGAAAGCACCAGTAAGTTTTCCTGCTCATAATGCACAGTAAATTTTTGTGGAACTTCCTAAATTATTAATTTGCAGATTATAAGGATATGAAGATTTGAACAGAGTTGATGTGCTCAGGATGCATACCTTGTGTGCATAAACTGCATAATCAAGACTGTGGAAATTTAGGTACAGTTTTATCTGACATTGTCTTCTTCTAAAACTGATGTCACAACTGGAGCCCAAGACGGTTGAATTCTCTTTCCCCCTCAATGTCTCCTGCCTCCTTCCCCTTTAAAGAGATATATTTTCCTCTGTTGCAGAAATGTTTTCTTTATTTCATTGCTGTGAATGTTCTTTCTCCAACTTTCCTCATCAAGTCATGTTAAAATTTCAATAACAAGATGCAGAATGCAAAGTGGCATCAACAGCAACTTGATTTTAATTTCATTACAAGGTTCAGATTACTTTTCCTCTCCATTCTTCCTTCTCCCTTTTCCTTATCTTTTTTCTTTTCCCATTCTGACACTGTCCATCATCACTGTTTTCCTCTGCCTTTCCTGACTGTTATATGCTATTGTTTCTTCACTTAAAGTGTAATAGATATTGTATTTGTCTTGTATTGTATTTGTACTCATTTCTTACTTTTATTTATAAGGGTGAAACAACTTTTTTTTCCCCTCAATCATAAAGAATCTCAGAAAATAAGAAGTTGTTTCCTTTAAGAAATTTGCAGCATCTGTAGAAGCTTCCTAAAGGAGAAAGCAGAAGGCTGTGGACAGTGGTGCAAATAATCAGCTCATACCCTTCTAACAGAAAAGGGAGAGCTAAATGAGTGTGAAACTGCACAATAATCAATCTCCTATGGGATTAAGATTCTGCTGCATTTCATTAGAGATCGTTTCAAGGGCAAGACGGAGATGACAAGATTCAGCAACTGTACATAAGGCAAGAGCAGGCCCTGACTATATATACAGCAATTCTCACAAAGAGCATAACCCCTTGCACTCTTTTCCATCTACCCAAAAAAAAAATACAAAAAAGCCCCACTGACACACAGCATATGGAATTTGAAACAGCAGGCAGTAGTGAACTATGAAATGTAGGTACAAGAGTACCCTGAGGTCCTGCTTTGGGACTGCCATTCTGCTACAGTGGCACACAGTAAGAGTAGAGCCAAAGGCTCTGTCAGTGGCTCCTCATTGCAGTTGCAGCTTCCTGGGGGCGCAGCAGAGGGGTGCTGATCTCTTTCTGGTGGTCAGCAAGACACATGGAAATGGAATGAAGCTGCAGCAGGGGAAGCTCAGACTGGACATTAGGAGAAGATCCTCCATCAATAAAGGTGGTTTGTCAGAGGCTCCCAAAAGGACTGGCTGCAGCCCCAAACCTGTCAGTGTCCAATGAGCATCTAAAGAATATTCTTAGTGACCCTGTTTATTGTTGGGAGGTCTTGCAAGGAGCAGAGATTTGGACTTCTATGGGTTTCCAGCTTCTGGTATTCCGATTCTACGAGTCTGAACAGTTGTCCACAAAAATAAATCTGTTTAACATAAGCACCCCAATATTTCCATGCTGCTCTTCATGTGTTACCTTTGTTTCTTAACTAAGTTGGGATAGTCTATATTTCAGATTTGCAGAAACTTCATAAGTAATTCTGTTGCCTGGAAACATATCAGAGGTGAATTTTAGATCCATTTGCAGCAAGAGAATGTTGGAGAACTGCTTAGGTTGGGTATGAAACAGCAGTCAGACCCCTGATGCAATATTCTTCCACATCCTGCAAGATACATCTAATGAAAATATTTTAAGCCTTTCCAAAAAACGGTGTTGTGAATTTGGAATGATCAAGTAGGTTTATTTGTTTTTTTATTTTATTAAACTCTCTGTACCTAAACCAGATTAATCCCTCTAAAAGGAAGATCTGCCATCAGCCAGACTTTAGCTCATAATTCCATGTTCAAAATTTCTGCCCTCTTGGGTTTTCACTTGGTTGTTCCCTCCACACCCTTTAGCATCAGGTAAACATTCACACAATGCTTTGAGGGGGCCAAGCCTGCTTTTCATGCTTGAGTATATCCCTATTACAAACAGATCCATCTCTAGAAATCATGGTAGTGCAGCTTGAAAGAAATTAAGGACAAATATGGCCTAAGAAAATTTGTGAGTAACTGGGTTGGATGGCTCAGGGAACTGTCCCTTGCAAAACAGAAACAAAAAAACAAGTGAAGATTGAGGCATAAAACCATGGAGAGCTGTGAAACTGATTTCCAGGGTTAGAGACATGGGAGCAGTTTTCATTTCTGTAAGAGCAGATGGGTTCAGAGCAAGATGGTATGCTCAGAGGGCTGGTATCAGAAACCTAGGATCAACACCAAACCACATCCCTGAACAGCACATCTACATGTCCTTTAAAGAGATCCAGGGACTGGCACTCAGCCACTTGGGCATTGCTGGGGGCAGCAGAGCACCCGTGCACCCAGCAACCCCTGCACCCATAGCCCATAACCTCTAACCAAAGATCTGACATTTGCAGCCACAGGAATGGGGTATGGGAAATGGACTTTAAGACCCATTTGTCTAAAAAAAAAATAAAAATTCTAGTCTTAGAGTGCTATGTGAAAATGCAAAGGAAGGGGTTTTATACCTCAGGAACAGCATGCAGGCAGCTGCTGCTGATTGCAGAGCCTTGCTGCAGAGCTGGGCTTGTGAATGCCATGCAGACAGAATCCCCTGGAAAAGGGGTTTGTCTTTCAGGTCAGTTACCTTCTGAAGGATTCTTTGGTGCACTTCAGAAGCCCTTTCCTTCCTTTTTCAATATTTATCTATATTTATATATAAATATATCTATGTATATATCTGTGTGTGCATCTATCTATGTTAGGCCTTTATAGTTTTTTCAACTTCCTAATAAAATGTAAAAATATCTGCAAAAAAATGTGTATTTTTCATAAAATAGGAAAGCTTCCTGAGTATTTAGAGGATGAAATAAAAGAATGAAACTCCCTCACCAAATCTATGTCAATATTTCTTTACTTTTTGATTTTTTTTAATACTTTATATTTTTTCCTTCACAGCCATGTCCTTCTTCAGGATTGAAGATAATTCTCTTCTTAACTCTGTTTCTAAAAAGATCAATAGTGAGCTGATAAAGTAGACATCTGAAAGACATGCAGAATAATCATGATTTGGACTTTAATTACCTGTTAGAAGTAGTCTAGGTGAGATTATTACTATTATTGTTATTATTATTATTATTATTATTATTATTATTATTATTATTATTATTATTATTATTACTACTACTACTACTACTACTAATAATAATAATAATAATAATAATAATAATAATAATAATATCTTATTTTATAAAGTATTTTTGTCTTTGCTTTACCTACCAGGCCCAGAATTAATTTCTTTACAGTTTTGGATGCTTAATAGATTCATAGGCTCTATTGCCATTACCATATTATATAAGATCATTCGAGCAGAAGACACCAGGAAATACACCTGAGTTGTTTTCAGGAAATGATTGTTGCACTTTTTATTGTTGAGTCAAAAAATAATTCAATTTTGTCTCTCTTTATCAGTTTAAGGAGCTCACTGATTGCTGCTAGAGCAACTGGCCAAATTAGGAGGATAACATCACCAGTCCAATCCATATTGCCATTCCAAATCAAAATCAGCAATCATTTCCAGCATGATTGTGATTTTCTAAAAATGCTAGAAATGTAAGTAAAGGAAGAAGAATTTGACTCTTTAGCCTTGAATGAAGATGTCAAAATACAAGACGTATCAGAAAGCCACGTGAAGAAAGCAAGGAGAACACTGTAATATCATGATAGCAACATTCAGAATTTTGCTGTCAGCAAAATTTTCTTGTGTGTTAAAAGGCCTTGAGATCAGAGCAAAGGAAAGAAACAGCTTAACTACCTCAGTAACTAGCACAGAATCTGTCTGAATTGAAATCTCAAGCCTCAGAAGAACAAGTAAAGCAGAGTCTGCATTATCAATTGTCTGCCTGAGATGGGTTCATTGACTGTGATATGCTGAGAGAAATCAAAAGTACCAAGAGAATTAACTGTACTGCAATTGCTCCCATGCAGACTGGTCAGATGGTACACTGGAATGTGAATCAGAGATTAAATTTTCAGGTGTTTTCACAAAGTGTCCAGATAACAGGACAGAAGAGCACCACAGCCTTGGACTTGCTTCAGAGCAATCTGCAGGACTTGGCTCAAAGGCAAGATATTCTGATTCTATGATTCTAAAGATTTAATACCAGTCTGTTAAAAAAAAAAAAATAGAAGCAGTTGCCTGCTGCTATAGGGAATTCAAACCACATGGGCAAAGGACCACTCCAGAAATGCCACAGTTGGCTCATCCCTTGAGAAGCAAAAGAAATAACTTCAGGTAAGTTAAACTTCACTAAGAGAAATTATGTGGAAATGCAGAAGATTAAAAGATAATTGTACAGCCATGCTTAGCTTTTAACGTTACTGAAGAAGCCGTACAGGCAGCATCGTGGCAGTACAAAATAGTTGTTGGGAAAGACTTGAGAACAAGAATATGGAAGGAAGATGTCATTCAAAAAGGTGAAATGGCATCTAAATGAGGAAAACAGCAATGATCCAATAGAGCATATGATCCAAATGATCATAAACTCTGTAAATTTGCATGCAAATATATAAAATTTTGTTTAATGCAATAAAAATAACATGAGTAGGTGGGCAACCTAGTGGTTTCAAAGCCAGTACCTGATCCTTTTCCCTTCATTAGGAGTGAAGAATCTGCCCAGAAATAGAAAATAATAATTTTGTAATAGAAAATGAGTAATTCAACTGAAGATGCATAAAGATGATTAAAGACAGCCATGTGCTTGAAATGAAAGTTATACATTTGGGTTAAAATAGGAAAAAAAAAGATGACTAGTTTAATCAGATGATTTTCTAAAAGTAAAACTACTTTTGAGATCTGCTTTGATGTATAAAAAGTCTGAAAAATGTAACCTCTGGATATTTTTACCCATGACATGGAGAAAAAAATGGAATTCACTGTTGGTTTTGTTAGCATTTTGTAATTGTGGAGTTTAGGTTTTTTCTTTTTGCACTGTTAGCATATCAAGTTTGTAAACTTTTTAAAGTTTGTAAGTCCTATTAAATCTCTTGTCTTTGTGACTATTCTGCTCTACAAAGGAAGAACATAGGTGTGAACGAAATTTCTATTTTTGAAGCAATATTGACAGACACAAAAATCAAGAGGTGAACACATTAAGTTCTTCACTAATAAAAAATGAAAGACCAATCTGTCAAAGAAAACTATACTAATGTCAATTTTGCCCTTTTTAGCTTAAGGTACAGAATTTCCCCCGCAGTTCAGAAACATATGGCTTACCAAAGAAATATTTTTCTTTTTTCTTTTGACCTTTCAGATCACTCACAGCCTTCCAGCAATTTATAGTTCTTTACATAACTGTTATATTTTCCCAGGGGCTGTCATTTCCATCCTTTAAAAATTAAGATTCAGTGGCTGCACAGACGTGTGTAGGTGAAACATCAGCTCAGCTGCTGTTGTTTCTGGGTTACCTCGCCTGCTAAGATTTCAGGCTCTGGGATCTGACTGACCTCGTTGTCAGCTCAGCACTGTTTCTCCACAGCTAATATGGTTGTAGACATTCTGCTGCTGTACACAGCACATGCCAGAGCCTCCAGGAGCAGAGGTCAGTGTACCAGGAGTCTGTGTAGCTGTGTGTTTTACCTAAACTGCACTGTGTCCCATCAAACACGAGGGAAGGTTGCTTTATCTCGATACAACCTTGTATTCTGTTGATGTTTGGCACTTCAGGGCAGCACACCCTTTTTTCCCAGCAAATCAATGTAAACTGATGGGGTGGATGTCTTTGTCTATTAAAATTGGAATGGATTTCCTGGCTGCATGAGCAAATGAATGCATACTGTTATTTCAAGGGTACTCATCCAAAGATCCAGATAAATATATGTTTTTCAATGTATTTACTCCAAGAGAAGGTCAGTTTGCTTTAACCAGAAGGTTTCAAACATCTGTTTTACAAGTCAAACTATTGGAGGAATGATGCTTAGACAGCTATATTATTCCCTTTGGAATAATTTGCTCATTCTCAGACATGTTGTTTTGCATATACCCTGCTCTTATTGTGTTTGTACACATTGTACTGTTAAACAGAATTATCCTCCATAGGATGCTATTCAAAATATTTTGCAGTGTGAGGTTTTAAAGTGACCCTGTAAATGCTGCAAGTAGCATTTCTTTCTCCACACAGAGGTCACAGAAAACCCACAGCAAGTCAAGTGGCTCTAGCAAACTTGAGACCACTTTTTATTTCACAAGTAAACTTAGATAAATAAATATTTTTTCTAAGCCTACACAGGTTTCACACACAAAACAACCAAAACCCAAAACCAACCCCCCAAAATGGTTTTGTTTGAGGGGATGGTTTTGTTTCTGCTTATACCCATGACTATGAGTATCTGGAACATAATAAGCAGAATCAGTTGAAATAAAAGTAGAAATTGAGAGAGTGTTTTGGGTATATATTTCTCTCCCCATATTTCCCTGTAAAAATAATACAATTTTAGAAGATGGTGTAGTTGCATTAAGAACTGTTATGATTTCCACAGCAATCCCATGTTTTACACTCAGTGTAAACCAGTACCTGAAATACACACACCACCAACACACCCCCTGGGTCCAGCAACCTGGGTGGGTGCAGTAAATGGTAACAAACATTTGCTTTGTATTTATAATATTGTCCATAGCAGCATCCATTGCAATAGTCATATAGCAATAGTCACTGCAATGTGATACAACCGGTAACTATTGTGAGTTCACTGGGGAATTTATATGAAATAAATGAACACCCTGTGGGCCATTTGTTGGGTGAATACAGAAAGATTTCATCTGTTGGAATGATTTTCACATGTACAGTATTAGAATTTCTACTGGTGAAAAATCATTGCTTTTTTCTCTTCTGAACAGAAGTAATTTTCCAGACTGATAACAATCTTTATTTATTTGTTTAAATATTTATACACATATATTATTTAATTAATTAGTTAATTATTTTAGCCTATATGTCTTTGATAAGCACAGTTGAGTAGGATAATGTACGTGGTGAGTTGCAGTATAAAAGTCAATTTTAGAATACAAAATTCTCTGTTTCCCTAACATAGAAAAAAGCAAGTAAAGCAGTTGTAGTACATTAATTAAAATTTGAAGATTCCATCCTCCCCTTCCGTTTCCATCTGGAAAAGGGAAATAGTTTTTTCTTTTTCTTTCCCTTTCTTTTCTTAGGACAGAAATACTTTTACTGAGAACTATATCCACACAAAAGCTTACAGAGCTGAATATGATGTCTTGTCTTATCACTTCAGAACAGACTCTGGAATTTGAAAAGACTTCTGAAATTTGCTTAACTTGCCGTTTCCTAATATAATGAGGAAATCAATGTGTCTTGCTTTTAGAAATGCTGGTGGCTTCAGAATAATTTGAGAGTCAGCAAGGAGAAGCAGAAATGAAACTGCAAGTACTTGCTCATCATTGAAATATCTGAGATGATTTAGAGATAAAAATGTGCTAATTTACTATTGTCAGGGAGAATATGTCATTCAGACACGCTCACTAATCTGAGCATTTTTTGAACAAGTTAATTCAGGCTTTGGGGGCTTCTGAACAAAACCTCCAGAGATTTCCACACCCACCACCCTGCAGCTGAGCAGGACTGCAGAAGGGGACAGCAGCAGGGGTAACAGCTCTGGGGGATGAAATGCAGCAGTGGGAAGCATGAGCTCCTCAGTGAGCAAAGCCCAGACCTTCCCTCCCACAAAGCAGCCTCCTCCTGGCAAGCCTAAGCCCAGACCTGGTCACTGGAGGAAATCTAAAATTGTTCAGGAATATATATATATATATGAGAATACGTTTCTGTGTTTAAGGAGCATCAACAAATATATTGCAAATATACAACAACTACCAAGGGAATTCTTTAAATAAGAAAATTATTTGCAAAATGCAATCTAAATGTACTTATCATTATATATGTGTTTTAGCATTCCTTAGGTTTGTTGCTGAGGGTTTCAGAGGGTTTTAGTTTGTGTGTGAAGCAGAGAAGTTAAATTTCAGTTTGACATTCAGGTAATTTTCCAGTCAACTGCTACTGTAGAGGATTATTTGAATGAGACCACACTAATTTTAATAAAGTCCAAAGTTTAAATTAGATACAGCAGTATGTAGCTTTAATGCAGAAGTTATTTAAAATTGCATTTTATATAGAGCTATTCACATGATTGCATTTTGATCTGATTCCTCAACCAAAAATTTTTAAAAAAGCTAAATTCACAATGACTGTCTTGATCAGCTTGAAATATTTTCACATTTTAATTTTTTTTTTTTTTAGTTTTGTTTAATTTTTCTCAATTTTAAATCTTCAAATGTTAAGAGAATAAAATGGAACACTAGCATTTTTTTCCTGAATTTTTTATTCTTGTTTCAAGAAAAATACATTTTTAAAATTTAATTTATCCCCAAATTAAAATACCAAAGTGTAATTACATGCAATTTAAAGCATAAATATTCTGTCTGTTTATGAAAGCTGTATCTAACTTTTTCATTGTTTCTCTTCAACTCTGCTGTTTTGGTATTCTCCTTTGTTACATGTTGATGAACATTTTTCTAGGATAGGATTTGGCAAGATTCCCAATGTTTTTGTAGAAATTCTATCCTGACTATCAGCAATGACTGTTAAAATGGGTCTGCTTTTATCCATCTGAAGTCTTTCTCCTGATCTTAATTCCACCTGTACTGAAGAGTTTTAACAAACCTTCCAGCTGTTTTAATTTGAGGGCTGTTCCCAAACCTTCTCACTCTGCACTTTCCCATGAAGACTCAAAGGATGCTCTTCTGTATTCTCAATGTCCTCTCATTCTCCACACCAGAGCATTTTAGATTATAAACTGAAAACAATTAAAGGCTCTGGTGGCTGAGAGTTAAACAGACATAAATCCTATTGGTCTGAGTTGACAGCAGTTTGTAGCCATGCTGCTATAAAAACAAAAATCTGGGATAAAAATGTAGGAGAATATTTTACAATATTCGTCAGTGCAAATGCAATACTAATGTTTCCAGTGCGGACAAAAGTCAGGCAGCCTTTTGGAATGTTTTATAACTCAAACAAACATAAAGGCAAATAACATCCTTGCCACTAGAGAGAGCTCTCACACTAAAATAATAGAACATTGCTTTGGGCTCCTTTTTTCCGGGAGATGAGATAAAAATGTGAGAGGGAAAAAATTGTACCATCTGGACTCATGATGGGAAGATATGACCTGACAAAAAGGAGTCCAGAGGCTGGTTCCAGCTGGACATGGGGAGAGGGGAACATGTTGCCTTCATTCCTCACTGTGGCAGATTCTGCCTGGATCCCATGAAAAGGAGCAAGAAATGTCTGAGAGCAAATAGGTTGATTTTTCCACTTTTGGCACAGAAAATTTGAGTTGATGGGACATATGGTAGTTGCTCCTCTTTTCATTCTACACAGGCAAGGCCAAACAGAGTAAGAATGGTTGTGTGTTTTGCCATTTTCAAAAGGGCCCAAAATCTGTCCCCAGAAGCAAACCATGAAGAACCATCAGCATTATTCAAAGATGTCCATGTTTCTATAAGCATGGAGGAAAAGACTGTAATTGCCTTTTTATCCTAGCATTTTTATCCATGAATGAAAATCAGTGCTAAGGAATACCAGGAACAGAATTTGTATCTGTTGTAGAGCAGGTTGGAACTGAAAACTTCAGGGCAAGATGATGAAAGAGTTCAAGTTAAAAGAAAGGATATTTTTGAGCATAATTTGAGTACTTAAATAAACCTGTATTCAAGAATGACATAGACTTTTGAGGAAACTGACACAGGAAATTTTGGATGGCGTTTCTTGTTATTTAGAGCAGTATTTAAATTTCAGTGAAAGTGTTCTGCATTTGATTAAGCTGCTAGAAGTGAACATTTATAATAAATATTTTCAGACTAAGAAAGAGAATATGTTTGGGAAATTATGGAAAACTCAGAGTCCCACATGCCCCTCTTTCCCCTTCACCTCCTCATCCTCCACATACAAAAGAGGAACCTGAAATCTGTAAAGGGCTTGAATTTCCTGATTTTGTGACTAAGGCTCTATTCTACCCTCTAGAAAATGGAAATTCAATAGGTTCTATCGTGTTCTTTAGGTCTAATGTTATTTATTACTTGAGAATTTATATTAAATTTGGCCCTTTTTAATTAAACATGTAATTTCAGTAAATTACTGAAAGATGAGATACCTCATATTCCTAGGGAATCAAAGAGGACTCATGATGGTCTTCTGTCAAATCCTGAGATTTCTTTACAACAGCAGATGTTCCAAAAGAAAGAAGAAATACTTTGGGTTTTTTTTGTCATAAAATATGTGGCTAGTGGCATGAAAGGCAAAGGAGTGCTGTTATAATCATTTATCTAAGAAGTTTCTTAATTTGGCATTTGTGTGAATTGAAACCCTTTTGAAATGACTCGTGAATTCAGTCATCTGTGTGACCAGAGACAACTTTGTAATTGTGTGCAAGGCTGGGTTCCTAATTACTCTGAGATCTAAGGCAATTAAAATTATACAGTTTTCCCCTCCATCAGCTTTCCTGTCTGAGAAAAACTTCCTTTGTTTTTTACCTCAAACTCTCAATATTCCTTAAGATACAGCAGTAATCTAAAATGTTTAGACTGAGAACACAGGAATTTTCATCATTTCTGAGTGCCCCTTTTTCTCACACTTTACAGGAAGGTGTTTGCCTATTTGCCATTCTCTTCCACTCTCTTCTACCTCCCTTTGCTTGGATTCTCCTTCCACATTCAGGATTATGTTACAAGAATATGAGTTTTGTGAATAGTTAATGTTATAGGAAGAAAGAAGGGGGCAACCAGACAGGTAATATTAGACACCTATAAATATTCCAGGGTGTTCCTAGATGCCCCTACTTCTGAACAAATTGTCCCCTCATCAGTTCAATTAAGCTATTAAGAGCTGAAATATTTATTTTCTACATCTAAAAACAGAATTGTTAGTATTCTACTGAGAAATAACCTCTTACCTCAGGCTTCAGTAAAGTCATTCAAGGACAGACGTTCCTTTTCACAATCAATTTAATTCAAGTCATTAACCAAGAAGCCCAAAGAAGTTTATAGACCTTAAAAATACAAATAACAGAGTGTGCTATGTCTTTAATTAGTAACACTCCAGATTTGAAATGATGACCTAGAGGTATATAACTCCATAGCCCATTACCAATCCCCTGAGCCACTCCAATCTGTCAGAGACCTTGTCCCCGCCTTACATTTTTAAATAAGGTTAAGAAAACTTAGGACAAAGTGGAGATTTACCTTTCCTTTTTCTCTTTTTCTTATAATTTTCAACTGCCTTTCAAAATGCTTAAAAAAGCTCCATAGTTTGTGGTAAAATACAAAATATTTGAAAATTTACCAATATTTAAGAAAAGATGGCTATCAATCCTGTTGTAAAAGTTTTTTGGGGAAATGTATTTGATAAATCTTATTAAACTTGAAAATATTTATATTTTTTTTATTTTATTTTATTTTTTGTGTGTGAGTGTGAAACTAAATATAAAACAAATGCCACCTTTTTAGCATGAAATTAGTCATCTGTCATTGCAGTGCTACCATGGTCAACATCATCTCTGATCTCAGCAAGCCTTGCTAACAGTTCTTCCCAATTCATAAACATGGGGGATATAAAACTACAAATTCAAATTTCCTTTAGAGGAGGTGCCTAGTACTGAAAAAAAACTCAAAAAACATTACTGTTCTTATGTCCTTAAAAACAGCATCAAATTTTATAAACTTTTGAGCATTGCAGCACCTTTAAAAAATGAGTTTCTAGTCACAGAAACCCTGGAAATTGATATTTACTTCTTTTTTGAAGATAACCATCTCAGGATTTTGTGAAATAAATAATTCAAATATATATTCAATTCATTTTTTTTTGCTTTAAAGCTTTGAATATGTACTGTGATATATTGCAGTCCATGCTTTATGTATACTCTTTTCCTTCCTTTTTTTAAATTCAGGGGGATTATATTCAAAAATTTCTAAATCACAATGCACATTCTGAGAATTCACAGATATTTAATACTGCCAGGATGATATAATTACTCTGTTTATTAAATTTATTTATTTATTTTTTTCTATCTAGCAGGAATGTTAATAGCAGTGTCTTTCCTGAAGCCATCAGGTAGATGAAGTTGACTGTGAACTTCTGTGAGAATTTTCAAACACCACCTCAACCATTCAAGGCTTAAAGGAGCAAGGGAGAGGCTCATAACTCAAGAGTGGGTTCATTGGAATTCATTGTCTCCTCCTGCCCTTCAGAGGAAGAATTTCATTCCTTGGAAGGATGCTTAGAGGTCAAATATTTGTGTTGTTCCCACCTCAGTCCAAAGACCACACAACAGGAGATAAGGGCAGCACCAGTAGTGAGATATAGTTAACTCATGAACTGATACTGATACTTCAAACCTAGAAATTGCTTTTATTCATTTTTTTGTTAGTATGCTCACTCAAAGCATTGCATTATTATTGCCATCGCTACTGCTGCTGAGTTTCTCTGGCTAAGTCCTTGAGAATTATGATTTTTCAACATATTTACACATTAGTTACAGATGTAGTTGTAAATAATAGAATGTAGAAGGACAAGAGGATGTGGCCAGCTCTTGCAGTGGTGCCCAATGGCAGAATAAGGGACAATGGACACAAAGAGAAAGGCAGGAAGCTCTATCTGAATACAAGGAGAAACCACTTGGACAGAGCACTGGAGCAGACAGCACAGAGAGGATGTGGAGTCTCCTTCTCGAGATATTCAAAACCCACCTGGACATAACCCAGTGCAACCTGCTCCAGCTGAACCTGCTTTAGCAGAGGGGCTCGACAAGATGATCTCCAGAGGTCCTTTCTGACTCCAAGCATCTTGTGATTCTCTGACAAACAGCAGATGTTTCAGGTTTCTCCATGAATGCCTTCTCTGGACACTATGGAGACAAATGCTCTTGGGCAGATGAAGCAGCTGCCTGAAGGCAGAAGGCAATTTCAGCCCTTTAAATAGTGCAATGGCAATATCAGAGGTTTCTGTTCTCTCTATCCCACAGTCTGTTCTTCCTTCTGCAACAGCTTTTAGATTTTAGATCTAGACCTGACTATTGTCTGATCTTTGACAGCTTGCCAGGCAGGGTGCTTTGCCATATATTTTTATATTCTTTATGCTACAGTTTACTTATTCTGTGTAGAGTGGATTATTTCCCTTTTTTCCACGAATGTCCATTGTCTGTATGGCACTGACAAAGCCAGACAATGGATGCTCTTTTAACAGCAAAGTAAGATTCAGGATACCTCAACACAATGATTAAAAAGCCTGTCTGAATTATGCAAATCTGTTTAATTACAGCTTTTTTTTCGTGAAGTCTTTATGCCAGAAAGATAGTCTCAGCAACCTCAAAATTGAATAATTTGCAAACATTTGAGGATATGCTAAGATAAAAGGGTTTGTCTGTTTCAGGATCTTTTCTGATTGATAATTTCTGTCAAAAGGATTTTGACATTATAATTGAATGGTTGCAAACCTGAAAGTAAAAGTGACATTATATTCCCTTTGAACATGAAATGAAAGGAAGTGTACCTTATTCTCACTGGGTATCTTTTTTAATCAATGTTATTCTTACTCCAAATTTTTGTGGACAAAATACACAGTTGCTAAATTGGTACTACAGCCTGATAGCTGCTCAGGGCTGGGGAACTGACAGGGAGAAGGAACTGAGACCATCTCCCTGAGGAAAGCTCTTGTGTTATATTGCCATATATGTATTTTGAAGACACTGAAGTTTCTCTGGAGACATGTAGGAAAAAAAATTCCAGTTCTCTTAAATTAAGTAACTAGATTAATCCCATTGGATCATATAAATCAAGTGATCAGAGGAAGAGATTGTGTGTACATGAACAATATAATTTTTTGCTAGATATAACACCGTATCATCAAAAGTCCAGAAGACAACTTCACCCAGACAATAAGATTCTTACAAATATTCTGAAGTTCTTCAGAGCCAAACTGTCAACTCATCCTCCAGCACCATCTCCCCTTCTTACATGTCTTAGCAAAAGGGAACTGCACATTCCACTGCTCTAGAGCATCACAATAAAAAAGAGTTTGTGGACTAGAGGTACTTCATTGGATGAAAATGTTGACACAATGGAAAGTTTATGCTATTCATGTGTTCATGTACATCACCAGCTAATTTTCCACATGCATCAGGAGAATTCTGAGATAGCTGACTAGCAAAAATTAACTGAAACATCAGAAAAAGTTTTGGGCATAAAAAATATAAAAATGCAACCTTAATGTGTGACAGGAGAACTAATATATCTTGCCATGGACCATGACTTCATCTTGCAGGATATTTCATAAAGACAAAACTAAAAAATGCCTTATTAGGTTCTTAGGTTTTTAATTTTTAGGCATAAATGAATGAGAAAACAAATCACTGGAAGACTACAAGGGAACCCTGAGATAATATGCATCAGCCTGAATAGTCCTGACAGGTAAATCATCCTTATTGATATGTAACCTCTCCAATGGGTTCAGTTTTAAATTAAAATTTCTAGTAAACCAGAATTCGTTGTCCAAGTAAATTTTCAGATAATCCATGGTCAAACATACACTGAAACTTCAAATAAAATAAATGCTTAAAATATCAATGCTGGAGTGATTTAAAAAGCATTTTAAGACAGTGTTTGCTTGTTCTATGTTTGTTTAACAATCCTGAAAAAATCCCCAACTATCTTTATTTTAACTACTGATTGTCCTTTTCTTCTAAATTAACTTCAAATCCTTTGCTCATATTGAATCAAAGTGACTTCAAACAGAAGTCCATTTATTAAATATTTTATTAGGTCTTTCATTATGCATGCTTGTAAAGATCTTAATAGAGATGTTAAGTAATGGAATTTTACAAGTTCCTAAAATTTCATAAATCTCCATAAATTTTCTTTTTATGAGAAACCTGCTTTCATAGTGTCTGATTTTTTATTCATATGCAACAAAAATGTTAATGTACTGCAATTAAGCTAATATGATTTATCTTTTCACTCATTATATAAGTTAATTTTGTTCTAAAGAAATCCTGTTTTCAAATTCTCTCCAGCAATGTAGAATTAAAGTAATTATAGTTTGGCACAGGAAATTAGTCATAAAGGGCCATGATTTCTAAAGAAAATGGAAGTTTTCACAGGCTGGATTAGCCATATACTTCAGAAAAAGGGAGAATATAAAGGAAATAATTTGCAGTGCAAATTATTCTTAGTGCAAGGACTCACCTTTTGGGTACAAATTCTTCAGTTGATAAGTAGTATATTAACAGGTCAAGAAGTCTGAATTTTTTAATCTATTCTATATTTATTCTTGCTGAGTGAGGTCATTGACATATTTGGTTTTTTGGTTGGTGTTTGGTTTGGGGTTTTTGGGGGTTTTGTTTAGTTTTGAATTTAGAAACTGTGAAGATCATAGAGTGTAACTGTCATAGTTCCCTTCCCAAATCTCTGACTGATGGAAGAATATAGACAGCTTCACAAGTGTGGATGTACCCATTGAAGCTCGCACGAGTTCTTGCACATAAATTTACTAAACCAATGACTGTATGACAGATTTTATTGTGCTGCTAATGCAATATTTGAAGCCTCCATGACTCACACCATCATTCACTGAGATCTTTGAAGCTTCTGCATTGAAGTAAAGAGATCTTATCAGCGTAACACTGGGCCTGGTGTTGATAAAGTGGGTGCTGATGAGAATTAAACAACCACAGTAAAGGATGAGTCTGAAAATAAAAAATATAAGGCTACCTCTATCAACTTGATATTAAGTGCTATGAAATGAACTCTCCCTTGCCTAGAAAAAGATGGCAACAGAGCCCTAACCAGGAAAATTAAAACACAGGTAGAGGTCAGAGGATGAACTTGATACAGTAAACCCTTAGCCAAGGAGACGAGAACAAAAGTAATGGCACTTGTTATTGTTTATAATATATTACAAAGTAATGCACTTAAGAACTTCATAAACTACAATCATAGTCATCTACATCTGCAAAGTGCTCCAAATTATCCAAAGTTATAGTTACAGAATACACTTCTGGAGTGCTGATTAGGACAGCTCTAAAGGAAAACAGGACTGCTCTCCGTTAGAGCTATGAAATCTACTTTGGCCAATACATTTAATAAAATACAGAGGGACAAAAAAGAAAGTAGACTTCTTCCTTCTTGAGAATTTAAAACCATATTTGAAACTAGAAATCAAGAGAAAACTAAAAACATCAAATTGATGATGGTTTTTGTTTGGCTATTCAATGAAATTGAATGCTTCATGAGAGTTAATCCATGATTTTTTATATGAGAAGCTTAGCATGAGATGTCAGAGAGATGTAATTTCTATACATCTACACACACATATTTGTGCTTGAATAAAATACCCTAGTGCAGAATACAGACATCATCTTCTGTAAGATCACCAGTCCATGACATCAATTATGCAGTGAGGTTTCCCCTTGAACTTTTTTCCTCTATTATATTTTCATTACTACATTCAGTGTAGGAGTTAGGCTGGACAATTTTCCTGCTGCCATGATGGATGATTATGACATATTATGAATAAGAGGTGATTAAATACAAACTATGTGTTGTCCATCAATGCAGTTATTATGGAGGCTTTGTTATTAATATATTTTTAATTTCTCAGTTCACGGATGAAAGGATCAGCCTACATTAATAGTGCTACATAAAGGGATAATTTAGTAAGATACCTGATGCCCTAATCCTGATTCAGACAAACTTCCCATTAAAATATGTGGAAATGTCAGTGTGACTAAACCCTTTAGTTTGGTCTTAGGGACAATCTTCTGCTGTTCAACACAGTAAGTTTAATTCAGAATATTTATTCATATTAAATATTAACTTTCTATTTAAGGAATATGTTGAAAATATGGTATACAGTTCATTTTCTTGTTAAGAGAAGAATAATTTATTTGATTATTCACATTTTTGTCATTTCCTTTAGCAATAAACAGAAAAAGTGGGTGAAGAAAGCACCCTAACCAACAGGAAACAGAAACTTGACTTGCCTCTGTGTCTCCTTGCCAGCTTATGCAATGAAATTTATGGAAAATTTTAATTTATAAAAATCTTCAGAGACTGACTTAAAACATTTATTGATTGGTTTCGGGGTTTTTTTTTGGTTATTTGTTTGTTTGTTTTGTGTGTGTGTGTGAAATAATAAATCCTTTTCCACCTTTTTCTCCTGTGGTTTAGACACAGTAAGGAGTCAACTACACATTCCTGCTTTTCTTTACACATTACTATTCTGTTTATTTTTTTTCCCTTCTTGAGTTATCACAGTGAATTGGGTTACACAGGATACAGGACAACAAAATTTAGTAGTACAAATAAATGACAGAAAAAGTTTTATTAGTTTTGTTTTCAAAACAAATATTTTCATGGTATTTTTTGGTCTCTATTTTTGGTTTTATACTGTGCACTTAATACACTTTGACTACAGAAATTTCGGAAAGTAATAAAATGCTGAGGAGAGGTAGGATTTAAGGAAAATATATAGTAAAACAAATATGATGTGGTCAGAATAAAGACTTTCATTCCCCAGTAGACAATTAAGTGCAGAGCCAAGACTTTAAAAGAAAGAGATCTTCTTTTTAGAGGAAAAAAAGAAGAGAAAGGACATGTGAAGGATATTTTCAGCTTCAGTGAGCTATGGGAGGGGAAGGAATAGTACAAGGTTGATAGAAAAAAAACTCCTTTTAAGTAAATGAATGTATTTCAAGAGCTAATTTTATTCTGTGGACAATATTTGGTGACATTATTCACACAGGGTTTCAGAAAGCCTGTGGCACCTCAGTGAGACTGAAGGAGCCTGAAGAGGGACAACAGAGAAACCCTGGTGACCTTCCTTCTTATCAACTAACTCTGATCAAAGTCTTTCAATCCAGGCAAATAACAGATGCAGCTCCTTTGTTTTCCATCGTGGATTTAAGGAGAATGTAAAAGTAGAAAAGTTGAACATTAGATATAGCTGGACCCAGAGATAGAGGAATGGCTGAGTTATACATTGGCATGAAATTTTCTTCTCATACTATTGAAGTAAATGCTAGGGAGAGAAAGCACTCTGTCATTAGCCTAAAGTGAACAGGTTTTTGTTTGCCTAGGAATGGGTTATGTGTTTCATTATGCTCCTTGTCAGTTGCAAATTTATTCCTACCTTGTATAATGCCTGTCTCCACTTTTTGCATAATATTATTCATTCCACTTAATACGAAAAATAAAATGCAGAAATGATGATTATAAAAGAAAAAAATAATGTGATTGAACTATTTTATTTTTTTCAAAGAAAATGTTTTCAGGCTATTACTGTACTTAGAAGAAGACTAAAAGGAGAATAAGGGAACTTGGAAGAGCAGTTAGTGGGCAGAGTAAGAGATCTAGAACTCACAGAATCTGGCTATTGTCTTACCAATAATTATGTTCAGCTCAAGTCAAATCTCTAAAATAACAGAGTACTTGAAGAAAAAACAATATGCAAGAATGTAAGCATATAACATAAATTATCAATTTATAAAGTTGCTTTATCATCACAGTGCACCAACGAAATGATTCCACAGTGCAGATCATTTAATCCAATTAAATATAAAACATTAATGAAGTCACATGTGAGGGGCCAAACAGGGATGCTAAACAAATCTGGAAATCACAAATAGACTCTACTAAGTCTCAATCAATTTTTGTTAATGGTATATTAAGTAGGGGTAATTATTCAAGTTAGGGGTTTCTTTGTACAAATTACAGGTAATAAGCTTAATGTAGATATGACATAGTTCCTTAATTCTAGCTATTAAGGAAAGTAGATTTAACTCCATTAAGTAACCTCAGTTAAATATGACAATAGATAACCATGGTCATTAAACTAATGACATCTGTCATCAACACTGATGTTACCACTATGACATGCATGCTTCCAGAATAAAGACCCAGTCAGTATCTCTGTTATAAAATGATTCAGGGGTTTTTCGCTTGGCTATTTTAAGTAATGGTGGAGGAAGAAAAAATTTAATCCAGCCAAGATAAAAGTTATTGAGGAAGGTCTGCACCAGTAATGTCCATCGAAAAGTCTCTACAGTTTATGTACATGTGGCAGAGCAGGATGAATTTTGATAATATAAAATTGTGAATTGACATTTAACACATATATGCCTTCATCAATCTGTGCTTTAGCAAAACTGCCAGCACAGGACTCCTCAAAAAGCCTTATAGAGATGAAACCTGCACTGTTTAAATGTTCTCTCTTTGTTCTGTTCTGAGTTCTTAGTCATCTTCAATAAGAGGATTCCAGTATATATTCCCAGTATGAAGCATTTGCTCCTTATACCTACAGACAAGCACAGATCAAACACACATTTCTAAACAGCAGCTAATAGCTTTTGGTGGAAATATGAGTGATGTCTAATAAGTTTTCAAACTTCAAGTAGCTCAGTTAGAGATATCCTCAGGGTATCTCCTGCTGTCTATACATTCAGATTTACAGAATAACCTGCTGTTCTGTAGCTGAAGTTATTAGCTCAGAGCTGAAGAAGTGCTGAAGTTCTTAGTATAAGATTCATTTTCTACTATTTTTGCACACTCACTCCCTGTACTTCTTTTACTGCTTCCTCAGTGCTTATTTCTTATCTGGTAGGGAAAATATAAGTCAGTGAGTTTCCCTATCAGTCTGATAGAACTGACTAGTGTACAGTGAAAATGATGCTGAATAACAGACAAGATGAATTATGTTTTAAAGCCAGTAGAAAAAATATCCCTTGAAACCTATTGTTCTGCAGTACAGGACAGCATCTTC